AATAAAATTATAAAGAAATATTAATAATAAAAGTAATTAAAAACATTAATAATCTAAATTAATAATTGTGATACACATAATGATTATCTGTGTATTCAGAATGAAATTGATCTTCTTAGAAATATAATACAAAACTAATCTATTATATAGATAGTGTAAAATGAAGATCTAAACTAAAAGAAATCTAAAGGAAGATAATCTAATCAAAATTGTTACAATAATTATAAATACTATAAATTTAAGACTTATTATATTATTATTAAGTATATTAATAATAATTACTTAAATAATAGATAATTATTATATATACTAATCTAACTAAAGTATTCAGATAAGATTAATAACTAAAAAATTAACAGACTTTAATACTAATTATATATTTAATTTTATTATATTTTTTTATGAATATATCTAATTTTTTAATAAAAATTTTTATATTTTTATTTATAAATTTGTTAGAATTATTTATAAAAAATATCAATCAATTATTTGTAAAATTTAATTAAAAACAACATATTATATCTATTTATACAATTTTTTATTTAAATTCTTTGATCTTTTTTTATTAAATTCATCTTGATTTTTATTTTATAAAAAAGAATTTTTGATAATTCCTAAAAGATCAAAGCTTACAGATTTTAAATGTAATGAAATTATTGATTTATGAAAAAACAATAAATAAAATCAGTAGAATATTAAGATACCTAAATTTATAGTTGGTAATGTAATAAAAACACAAAAATTATGATCAAATCACATTCTGATAGATCTGAAATATTAAATGACTATGTAAAATATATACATAAACAAATTGATCCATGGCTTATTAATGAAAAATTATCTAGAAATCATAATATACCATTAAATAGAGCAGTTTTGCTGATTCTAAATTTATAAATTTTATTTACTATTAATATGTAAATTCTCTCAAAAATATCAGTTGAAGTTAGTAAGCACAAAAGTTATCAATCTCATTCAAATGAGAATTACAGAATTTCTACTGGGCCAATTTTTATAAAGAAAATATATTCTGAAAGCTTAGATTTGGGGGTTTTGATAAAAAATAATAAAATTTGAATTATTTGTTGTGTCATAAATCGCATTTAATTATTCTCGATCATTTTAGATGATCTTTAGTCAAGGCGGTATACATGTACATGGATGTGGCTTGCGGACCGTTTACCCTTATACACTTTAAGATTTCACATATGAATTTTGATTGCAACTGAATTTTGTAGCCCGCAAGTAAATTTATTTATTAGGTCGCGAGTCCACAAATAAATTAAAATTCGAATTTTAAACACTGGTGATCGTTCAAATTTTTATTGTGAAAAAGAAAGTTTATTTAGATACATGCATAGTATGTTGTGCATTTGATAATTTTACCTTCATTTGGAACATTTCCAAGTTTACTCAGCAGTTGGTCTGTTTGGCTTTAACACTCTTCAAAATAAATTTGTACAATTCGGGAATAGTGTTGTCGTATTCCTTTATAAATGTAGTATACAAGATAATGATCATGACTTCGTTCACTAAATGGTCGCTCATCTATTTACGACCTCATACACAACCTTCCAAAACTATAAATATCTGCAATGTTAATGCGTAGCTTTCTATTTAGCACCTCGTGGACTCGTATAAGGAAGTGCACCAAAAATTTATTGGCTAGATTTTCTATTTTTTTTGGAAATATTTCCAAGATGAAAGTGACAATGTACAAACTTTCTCTGTGAATTGTCTTCTCAAGTAAATTTTTCGTAGTTGGCTTTAACTGGTTTTGATTCTTGAATCTTTGCAATTTGGAAATCAAAGGTTTCATAAAGCTGTCAACATAAAAGTTGACGACATCAAAACACGTATCAATATATTGTTATTATAAAAGAAACAATTTATGGATTTAAAGAATTCATTCATAACAAAATAGCTTAAATGAATTATAATCAATTTTTCAGTTTTCATCCCATGATATTTTATATTGAAATTCTCACTAAATGTTTATTTTCTGTTACATATATATATATAACACGCCAAATACATAATAACAATTACTAGATACAGAAGGTTAAACCATAAAATAATACCATAGAGACTACGCTATAAGAATTAGGATATTTTTATTGAATAGTAATTTTCTTTGGAATTGCATTCTCCGCTTTCGGAATCTTTACTTCCAATACACCTTGATCGAATTTCGCAGCAATTTCATCGGACTTGACATTCGATGGTAGCGTGATACTACGCGAGTACTTGCCGAAGCGACGTTCTTGGATATGAACATTGCCTTCTTTGTGTTTTTGATCTTGTTTTGTTTCACCAGAGATATGAAGTACGTTATTGTGTACATCGACGTTTACGTTCTCTTTTGGAACACCCTGAATTAAAAATAATGGATTTAATATATGTAGGTAAAAACTCTATTATCTAATATATAATAGAACAAAAGAACTTACAGCTAATTCGGCATTCACTACAAACTCCTTATCTGTTTCGTAGACATCAAGTGGAGGAATCCAAGACGAACCGCTATTTGCGCCACGAGCACCAGCACGAACACTTCCGCCGCGTTTAGCTGTGTCCAGATCAGTGAAAAAATTTGTAAATACATTGGAAATTTGGTTTTCAAATTGTCGAAATTCTGGGTCGTGGTAGAATAACGCCATTTTTTGTGGATTTTGTTGATTTATTGATTATTTTTTGTTTTGTTTTTAGAGGAGATAATGCTTTATGGGTTTGGTTTTGGTTTGGTTTTATTATGCTTTACGACTTTAAGAAAGAATGAGACGACAAAGAGCTCGAGTATTTATAGAAAAATTTGAAAAATAAAACAATCATTCCAGAACATTCACGAGAAATGTAAATCATTATGCAGATGTATGGTGATTTCATACATCCACATATACATGTCATTGTTTGTTCTACAACAAAAATCAAATATGTCTAGAATGATCACGTATGATACCCAATTGATCGAAAGATTTAAGAACATTTTAATATAATTTCAATTACGGTGAAAATAAAGGTTTTTGCTCAGAGTTTAATTAAAATTTCGCAAGGAACATTTTTTGCTAGAGCATAAACAGTGGTTTCATAGGCAAAATTTCGAGAGACAAGGTTATTTTCAAAAATTAAGGTTTGTTCACATTTGCCAGTTTGTTAAAGGAAATTATCGAACAACTAACATAGAAAAATAATAGATAGAAAATGTGATGAGAACAAATATTACACTAGCCTATCACAAAATAGCCATGTGAATTACTGATAATATCACATGAAATAGTATAATTATATACAGTCAAACCTGGATATAACGAAACCTTTAGGTTGGGTAGTCAGCTTCGGTTTATCAAGTAATTTGTTATATCGAAAAATTTTATATAATGAAATTATATATCAAATTATGCAAAATTCATTATATAAAATTATTATAGATTTATTTATTGAACAATTTTTAATTGAAACTAAGTATTAATAACAAATTTATTTGAATTTTTGTTTGTACTATATAATTCATAATTCGTTTTTAAGTTGATTAATTACTTTAAAATCCTCTTTACTTACTTGAAAAATTATTAGGAGAATTATCAAGGAAGAATAAAATATTATTCAAACTTACAAGTGCTTCATTATTGGATACTATAATTGAAGGTTCTGAAGAATCTTCTACTTCTTCTTCTTGTAATGTGGCTAAAATTTCTTCATTGGTTGGAATTGAAAAAGTTGGCATTATTTTATCAATTTCAATATATTCTTGAGTTGTCATTGGATTACTGAAAGATAGCTATTCAATTAATGATTCTAGATCTTCTTCTTCATTATTATCAGTTGGTTCTATACTAATAAAATCAGGCAAGTTATCTATTTTATTCTAACAATGAGAGATAGTATTGGATATTATATTATTCCAAGCTGTAGCATAATATTCAATTGCTTCTCAAATATTAACTGAAATAGGATCTTTGCCTGTTTGTTGTGCTTCTTCATAAGCATTTAATCAATTTTTGATTAATAAACATTTATATTGAGCTTTAAAAAATTCAAATATTAATTAATATAAATATAAATATATATTAATTAAAAGTAGTATTTATCTTAAACTATTGATTATTTCAGTATCTATTAGTTAAAGATAAATAGTTATATTAGGTAGAAGAGGATAAATTTTAATATTTGAAAGATATATAGATTCTTTAAGAATATGACAAGATATATATATTATCAATTAATAAAAGAATATTATAATATTAATAATATATTTTTGAATTTAAATTTTTTAAATAAGAGTTTCAAATTGAAGTTTATATTCATATTATCTTGTTTCAATAATATTTAACTAATAAATCTTTTTTATTAATATTATGAATAAAATATAAATTTTTATATTTGTAAATTAATAAAGAAATAATTTTTTTATATTCAGTTATATTAATTAATAATATTATTACTTGTTCTTTTGATTTTTTAATTCTGATAACTGGATCAGTTATCAATATATAAGAGTTCTAATTAATAATTTTATCACAATTAAAAATCTTATTAATTAAATATTTATTAATAATATCTTTAAGTTATTATTGATAAATTAATAAATTTTTAATTGATATACTTTGTATTTTTTCATATTATTTATATTTTTAAATATTATAATATTACTTGAAATCTTGTAATCAATTATTTGATATAATAAATTTAAGTTTATTTAATATATTAGCAAATACTTTAGCTTGTTCTTAAATAAGATATCCAGTTAAAATTTATTTATATCTAATTATATATTCTGCTCAAAAAGTAATAATCACTTTAATTTCAGAAAAATCTGGTTTTTTATCTTATTTTACTATAACTTCTTTTGAACTTAGATCAATTATAAGTTAAAAATCTGACTTGAAAAGTATTTTATTATAAGTAAATTTACTTATTTCATAAAGTAATATGAGAATTCTATTAGAAATACTTAATTTATTTTTTATATTTATATAATTTATATTATTATTTATTAATTAATATAATTCTTTTTTTTTATTTTTAGAACTTCAAAAATTATATTATCTTTTTTTAAATATCTTTCATTTACTATTTAAGCTTTTTGCAAAATTTTCTGTAAATTCTATTTTGAATATAAAAAAGAAGAAAATTTACTTGTTTTTTAAGTTAAAAAAATAATAATAATGAAACTTGTATTATTAATATTAATAATAATATAACTATATAAAAGCTATTAATTTTTATTTATAATTATTTTATTAATAAAAAGATATATATGAATAATTAGATGATAAAAAAATAAATAATTTATAAATAATATATTCATAAGATTGATAAATAATTAATAAAATTAATAAATAAATTAGATATAATATAAAAATTATAATATTACAAATAAAATTATAATAGTAAAAATAATAGCAGATTATATAAATATATAAAAGAAATTATTTTAAACTAATTTAATTTTGTATTATTTAAATAATAATATGAAATATATACAAAATTTAATTATAATAATTAAATATAATTTCATAAAAAAAGATTTAGTACTTATCTAAATTAATTAAGTAAATAATTTTTATATAAAATAATAATAATATTAAATTAATTAAAATTAAAATTTTATTATATACTATATTATTTTAATAAAATTTTGCTTTATAAAGATTTTTATTATATAAAGATAGTATTATATAAGCTAATACAAGCTTTATTTTATTATATAATCTTCTAGTTATATAATATAATATATCCTTTACCTCATGTTGATGAATTAATGGATCATTTAGCTAGAATAAAATATTTTTCTAAATTGGATCTCTACTTTGAATATCACCAAATCAGAATTAAAAAAGAAGATATTCATAAAAAAGCATTTGATAATTTAAAATAGTATTTAATCACTACGTCTATCTTAATTTTGCCAGATCCTAAACTACCTTTCACAATTATAACTGATGCATCTGAGTTTGCTATAGGAGCTATTCTTAGTCAAAATCATAGAAAAAGTAATCAACCTGTCACTTATGAATTATGTAAATTATTCTTAGCTGAACAAAACTATCTAATATATGAAAAAGAACTTCTCGCTATTGTACATGCTATTCATTTTTGGAAATCTTATTTGGAAGAACAATAATTTACTGTCATCACTGATTATGTATTTCTTGAGTATATCAAAATATAATATAATCTTTCTAAATATCAAGCTCGCTAGCTGGAAACCTTACAAGCTAATAATTTCATTATTAAATATAAACTAAAAAAAGAAAATATAGTAGCTGATGCTTTATCTTATCCATCACAAGTAAATAATATTACTACAATTTCTGCATAACTTATTGATAATGAAAAGTTACAACAAGAATATGAAAATGATAAATATTTCAAGGAAATTTAGACAATCTTATAATATCCTGAATCATCTATACCAAAGTAATTATCTCACCAACATGTTATTCTGAGAGATAATAAGTTTTATTTGAAAAATATAAACCATCTCACTATTCCCAAGGATAAAACTCTGAGAACTCAAATTTTGAAGGAATATCATGACATCTCTATCTCTGGTCACTTAGGAATTAATAAAACTTATGAGTTAATACAAAGATCTTACTACTGGCCAAAAATATTTAAAGATATTTGTAAATACATCCTCAGTTGTGAAGAATGCCAATGAAATAAATCTAGTAATCAACCACTCTCAGGACTTCTACAACCATTAAAAATACCTGAACAATGCTGAGAACAAATTACTTTAGATTTTATCATGCAATTACCTACAACTCATTAAGGATACAATGTAATTCTGGTTATTATTAATCATCTTACTAAATGAGTACACTTCATTCCTACTCATACTACTGTTACTGCACCTGAAGTTGTTAAACTATTCTTCAACAATATATTTAAATTACATAGACTACCTTGAGTAATAATTTCAGACCATGATGTCAAATTTACTAGTCAATTTTGGAAATCACTATTTGAACAAATTGGAACTAAATTGGCTATATCAATTGTATTTCACCCACAAACTGATGGTCAAACTGAGAGAATGAATCATACACTAGAAGAAATGTTAAGAATCTATTCTACTTATAATCAAGATCGCTGGGATGAACATCTTGCTGCTGCTGAATTTGCATATAATAATTTAATTCAAGCTTCTTCTGGATATACATCTTTTAAGTTAGATTATGGTCAACATCCAATTACACCTATAATACTTATCATAGATAATAAAGTCACCACCACTAATGAATTCATTTAACATTAGAATAATATAATTAAAGATGCTAAAGATTTATTAATGGAAGCACAGGATTATCAATCTAAATATGCTAATTAACATCGTTGTTTTCAAGAATTTAAAATTGAAGATCAAGTCTTACTTTCAACTCACAATATTATTGATCTCATAGATAAATAATGCCCTAGTAAAAAGCTTACGTCTAAATATATTGATCTCTTCTCTATTCTTGAAGTAATCTCATTTATCGCATATAAACTAGATTTATCTTTACATATGAAAATTCACCCTGTCTTTCATATTTCACTGTTAAAGTTATACAATCCAAATAATAATAAAGATTTCATTTGTCCAACTTCATCACAACCAATCATCATATCTGGAACTGATGAAAAAGAATATGAAGTAGAAATAATCTTGAAT